GCATCCGAGAGAAACATTGTTGCTTTGAGGTTCGAGACCAAACATGTGTTCATGTCGAAGTAGTTTACAAGAGAGGATGATCTGTGTAGCCAGCGACCTGAAAAAGCTTAATGAAAATAATGTTGAAATCCATGTTCACGCACATGACAAAATTTATGTGAACAAATATTTATCTGAACATCGTTTCAAAGTATGCGAGGCTGTTCATATTTTATATCCATTCCGGCGTGAAATAAACTAAAATTTAGTTTCGTGTCACAATTTGTCCTGCCGCACCGATCTAATAAAAGAAATACGTACTTCAAGATTTGCCATTGCACCATCATAAAAGAACCGGGTCAACTATATCTTTCTTCAGTTGTTTATTAGAAATTCGTTTCCGAAGCAAAGCGACTCCATCTACATCATAAATTAATTCATAGTCTAGATTCTAGTACCAAGTGTTTAAACTATTTTTTTAAATGTCATAAAATAACTTACACAATGGTTGATAGACTACTTTAATAAGTAATTTATTTTATTTCGTCCGACCGTTAGGTGAGGCTTGGGGGGAGAAACACATACAAAAATTTGGATGGTCTTATGCAAATGACACTTGGCATGCCACTCAACGGGGAATCTAGGTCACTGCATGGGACCCGCCAATTTCACGGATCGAGTGACTTCAGCATGAGGAGCTTTTGGACAAGTGTGACTTTGCCAAAACACATTGCTACTGGGCAATGAAAACATGTGACGGAAACGACAAAAAACTATTTTCATCACTTGAACATATTTGTGACCATTACCAGGGTTTTTTACACGACCGTTGTCATCCAGATTCCAGATGAAAGTAAGACGAACACAAAGTAAAAAAAGCTGTTGACATCACCGATTGCCGTATATATTGTGAGAAATGCTATTCATAAACTGCATATATACCGTGCACAACAGGATTACGATCGGTGCCGTTATACATATTATGGTGTTTTGTACAATTACACTGCTCTTATTCATCACGACAAACGTATCCTCGTCCAGAGAATAGGGAAGAACCATAATTATTGTGTTGGATAAATCGCGGACATTCCACGGTATTATTTAATGAAGATCTGAAGACGACATGGCAGGTGGTTATTAAACCCAAGACATATGCGTTTGTTGAAAAGTCTTGGAATCGTTTGATGGATATTTATTACCATTAAAGCTTACGTCCTTGTTGTCAAACGGCCCACGTGGGTGGGTGTTTGCATGACGTCATCCGTTTACGCATTAACCAATGAAATTCGTGTGTTATCATGACGTCATATTGACCTGTCAGATCACTCGTATAAGCTCCGCCCACTAGAGTGCGGTAGTTTCTACCGCAGATGCCTCTTTAAGGCATTTGTCATCTAAGCAAACGACTCAAGTGTCATAGTTAATTAAAGAGTTTGCTCACTTGTTCACGGATGTACCTGGCCATACAGATTTAGTGTGTTATGATGTTGATGTAGGTGGCGCTGTGCCTGTGAAACAACATCTCCGGATGAATCCAATCAACCTTGAAGGTCTGAAGAAGGAGATTCAATACATGCTGGACAATGACACTACAGCCAATCTTGAGGGTGTCTTGATTTAGTGTTCGATGCCCGAAATACCCTTGGTTCTATCATTCATGTCAGACAAGATGCCACATCCACATCAATAGTATCTATCGGTGAATCAGTTTCTTTACTTAAGTCTTATAAACATTCCCCCCCCCCCCCCACCACCACCACCATGTTAAGCCTCAGTGGAATCAATGAAATAATGCTTTCTTTCCACGTCCCGTTTCGAATCCGAGTTGTTTGTTCTCACCCACACGCTGCTCAGAATACCGTCTTTTATTAGAAGATGATGTTAACCACCTCCCAGGCCAAACATACACAGTTTTCCGAGGCGGGCGTTGGTGCTCCAGGAATTATGTCTGTTACGGGACATACACTGTAGGATTGACCAATTTTTGTAAAGTTACATAACCACAGCTTCTGTTGCTCAGTCCCTTAGCCAAGGGCATTTAGAAACATACTGCAGTCACACAACGTGACTGCCATGTTCCTCCCCCTGAGCCGCCGACCCACGACAGTTGCAATACGTACAGTATCCTGTAGTGCCACCTGCTCTGTCGGGCACGTCATTTTTATGGCTTGCAGTTGCCGCAGCCTGCAAACATGCGTGGTGGAAATATTAAGTTTCAGAAAACACCACAACTCAGTTAGCTCGGCCCCAAAATGTACTTATGCAATGTTTAGTATCACCTGAATAAACAGAGCCAAATTTATATAAGAACATACAATTAAATCCAAATTATTGCTTCATATGCGAATGATAAAGTGTGACGCAAACTGCCGGTTTGGTGGTGGCTAAAAATGAAACAAACAAAACATGGACATTCGGCTGTTCGGACATTATTTGATACGGGTATCATAGGCGATATTACATGCATTATTTCAATGAGTATCTCACAACAGGTAACGAGCACTCAATGAACAAATGGTCGCAGTTTCATAGTAAATAGTTATGGGTAGAGTGATGCAGGTGTTTACTTTACTTTGTCCGGTAGATTTATTCAGGCAAACTATGCTATATATTACACAACACTTAAATCCAGCAGTTGATTTAACAGTTTATTCATCAGTTTATACATTACCAACTTCAGGTAACTAGACATGGACATTCCGGTCCTCCAGCTATTCCTATGGAGGACACAGGTTGTTGGCGTATTTCTTTTAATGAATATATTACGAAAAACTGCTTGACATTTAGCTCACTTGACAATATTTTCAGATTTTCATGTTAATGTTATTGAATCGTTATTCAATAAATATTTGCATTCCTCGAAAATGCCTGTCGAATAGATAGAAATGCATAGATATATAGATGTTAATATATAGCTATTTCTATCCTTGGAATAGTTACTTCAGACAGTGGACATGCATGTGCAGTGGCTAGTGCACATACTGAGCCACTATATACCCTCGTCATATGGTATAAAAAATAATCATTATGTAATATGTTTACAGATGAGACAGGAAAGTAAGAATATGGAAACGTAATGACTAACATAATTGTCACCTAACTATTCGTCTACAATTGGCTATATAACTAGTGGTTCTATTCCGCTACTGGTTGAAACAACCGTGGATCTGGCTGTTTTGATATATATAACCGCAGCTCTCATTGATCCATTACCGTGATTAGGATTCTTTGTGGTAGCGCGTTGTAATAAATCACCAGTAATATTGAATGGAGTCACGAAATTGTCTGCCACATTCCACCGCTTTACGCCGCTCCAAATAGTGTTATCCGGTCAGGTTCATTTGCCTCAGCCACAGCTATTCTATCAAAGGTAGGACATTGTCTAAATTAGATATAAGGTTTAGATAAACGGTGCCAGCTGATAAAATGAACAAGCACACGTGTCCCAAAATGCTACTGTTCGTTTGAGGACAGAAAAATGAATATGTACTGTCCTCTCCATTGTACATCTTCCTACTTAAAGCCTGATGAACTGACAAACGCTGAATGAGATTTGACGGCAACGAGGATAATGGTGACACGAGCAGGACCTCACCGACAACATGAGAATAAAGCTAAAACTAAATGAAGTTTTGATGACCCCACTGACACTACAATAGTGAGAAGGTGTGAACAGCACAGGTGGTGATCTGCGATTACCAACTTGGACGAGGTTTAAATGACTGTGGATATTTTAAGGTGGTGGGAAAAGACTGTGCTGAGTAACTGGCGACGACATGTGTCAGCATGCGGAGTTGATGTATGACTCCGACACCTCCAGCCCAGCTTGCAGCATACAGGAAGCACACAGCTTCACGGAACCGAGGCAGTTGATTCAAATAGAAGTAACAGACCAGATTACATTTGTACTTACAGTGTAGGACATTATATACTAGTAATCACAATATAGGTTATCAATATAGGCCCTTTGAAACTATTTTCATTCTTAAGAAAAACCTCCATCCGCGGTTGGTTTATATTAAATGTAGTTTGTAACGTACGCATAACTATCTACTTGCTGAAAACAATACCATTTCCAAACAGAATTGACTGTTTCGGTTTGTTAAAGGACGTGATCATATTTGTGATCACATGGTAGATGAAACATTCTATGTAAAATATAAAACTCAACACCAGAGCATCAGTCTCGATTACCTGCCGAAACAGATTCCAGTGGTTGTGAAGGCAAACTATTGGTGAACATTATATGAATGGATCACAGAATAACAGTGATGATACCAGGTGGTCACGAAAAGGGTAATCATGTCCACCTCTTCCGGAAGCACCCGCCACTCACATAGATTGCATTAAAAGTTTTTTGTTGCCTAACCACGGAGGCCTGTGTAAACAACTGAATCTCGACAATCCAGTGATAGTGAACCAGACAATCAAGTGATACGATAGCGCGTTTACAGATTTTGTTGAAACTTAAAACGAAATGTTGATTTTAAATTACGTCTGCTGCAGTTTTAATGTCTATAATCCGAAACATGTCTGTTATAGTTGACTCAGCATAATTGATAAATGCTACTGAGCCTGTGATGAAACTCTGGGGCTTCAGTACACCAGCTGTTCAATATCATATGAAACGTCAACGGCAAGGAATGAGCAGTATCTTTTATCTGCCGAAACAGATGCCTTTGGGCGTAAGTGGCAAAATGGTAATAAAACATATATGAATGGATCACTAAAATTCAGTGGTGACTGTCCTGAAGACACCAACTTTGTAATGTAACGTTCCATCTTTTACAGAATGCACCAGCATTCTTGTGCACTACCAAATGTATAGGGGAAAGGAACATTAACAGAATGTGCAAGATACTATTTTGGTTCAATAACAAGATTGTATTGTTTAAAAAGTGATACATTTCATGTGTTTGGGCTTAAGGACAAAACGACAAACTACATTTACTAACTTTAAGAAAATATAGAGCCTTAAATACTTTCTAACATGAAACAATTCTTTTTGAGTCTAATGAATCTCTCCTTCAACTTGTGCTGACAGTGTGGGAATGGCTTTGCCAATATTGACACGAGTGACTGCTCTCGGCCCGGGGTTTCGCTGCCAGCCTACTCGTTGCTGACTTGTCATTCGTCAGTTGCACGTGAACTCTACTCATCTCCACCCAATGACACCTCCTGCCCGTACCACCCCCGTCCTTCCTCTACATCACTCTGGCTGAATCTGGGTGCATACTTTGGTATATAAAGGCGTTAACAATTTGTGTTCCAAGGCAAACCTGACTACAGTGCCGCGCTGTGTGATCCTCCACTATTCAAGTAAAGTGTCAAAGTAAGTGACATTCCATATTCCATATCCAGATTATTGTGATATTTGATTCTTATAAGTATGAGAGATTTTGTCATTGTGTAGTTTCTGCAGTGATAGATGTGTCATAATGTTAGCAGTTATGTCTTTCATTTTGAGTGGAATATATTCGCACGATTACATCCACATTGAATATCATCACTATCTTTGCATATGTTCCAGCGGAATGATAGTCCAACAGTATTATTACATAAATATCCTTTTGAATCGTTTTTACCTTGTAGCGGCTTTGTCGTTTGCGATGTAACTGGATCCCAAACACCTAACAACGCTGGTTGAACTACTCTTGTCTTCAAACAATATAAATAGTCCAGTCTATCAATTTGACAACGAAGGCGCTCGAAATTCCGTTAAAATTAACATTCCTACAATTTTGGGTATTGGGAGATTAATAGTATGCTCATGTTTAAATTGAAACCTCACAAGTCCTGCGGTTCCATCTTTATCGACTGTTGTGTTTCCACTCTGCTCTACTGTTTATTGTTCGTGTCTCCGGCGGAGCGTGTTATGTGTATGTTTAAACATGCATATTCATTTCTGCAATTACTACTTACAAAGTGTTCTTCTGACATCTGTGGTCCAAAGCGTTTGTATCTCCTCTGAACCTGACCTTGATCATGTATAATAGCAAAACTTATCCCATCCCATAAAATAATAGTTGTAATTTTCCTTGTGCTGTTGTATACCACATGATACGCTCCTTGTATGTGTGGTATAGAGTAGTTGCATCCCACACATCTCCCTGGTATTGCATATATAGAGTAGTTGCATCCCACAAATCTCCCTGGTATTGCATATTTTGAGTAGTTGCATCCCACACATCTCCCTGGTATTGCACATATAGAGTAGTTGCATCCCACACATCTCCCTGGTATTGCATATTTTGAGTAGTTGCATCCCACACATCTCCCTGGTATTGCACATATAGAGTAGTTGCATCCCACACATCTCCCTGGTATTGCATATTTTGAGTAGTTGCATCCCACACATCTCCCTGGCATTGCATATATAGAGTAGTTACATCCCACACATCTCCCTGGTATTGCATATATAGAGTAGTTGCATCCCACACATCTCCCTGGTATTGCATATTTTGAGTAGCTGCATCCCACACATCTCCCTGGTATTGCATATATAGAGTAGTTGCATCCCACACATCTCCCTGGTATTGCATATTTTGAGTAGCTGCATCCCACACATCTCCCTGGTATTGCATATATAGAGTAGTCGCATCCCACACATCTCCCTGGTATTGCATATTTTGAGTAGCTGCATCCCACACATCTCCCTGGTATTGCATATATAGAGTAGTTGCATCCCACACATCTCCCTGGTATTGCATATATAGAGTAGTTGCATCCCACACATCTCCCTGGTATTGCATATATAGAGTTGTTACATCCCACACATCTCCCTGGTATTGCATATATAGAGTACTTACATCCCACACATCTCCCTGGTATTGCATATATAGAGTAGTTGCATCCCCTACATCTCCCTGATATTGCATATTTTGAGTAGTTGCATCCCACACATCTCCCTGGTATTGCATATATAGAGTAGTTACATCCCACACATCTCCCTGGTATTGCATATATAGAGTAGTTACATCCCACACATCTCCCTGGTATTGCATATATAGAGTAGTTGCATCCCACACATCTCCCTGGTATTGCATATATAGAGTTGTTACATCCCACACATCTCCCTGGTATTGCATATATAGAGTAGTTGCATCCCACAAATCTCCCTGGTATTGCATATATAGAGTAGTTACATCCCACACATCTCCCTGGTATTGCATATATAGAGTAGTTGCATCCCACACATCTTCCTGGTATTGCATATATAGAGTAGTTACATCCCACACATCTCCCTGGTATTGCATATATAGAGTAGTTATATCCCACACATCTCCCTGGTATTGCATATATAGAGTAGTTGCATCCCACACATCTTCCTGGCATTGCATATATAGAGTAGTTACATCCCACACATCTCCCTGGTATTGCATATATAGAGTAGTTGCATCCCACAAATCTCCCTGGTATTGCATATACATAGAGTAGTTACATCCCACACATCTCCCTGGTATTGCATATATAGAGTAGTTGCATCCCACACATCTCCCTGGTATTGCATATATAGAGTACTTACATCCCACACATCTCCCTGGTATTGCATATATAGAGTAGTTGCATCCCACACATCTCCCTGGTATTGCATATATAGAGTAGTTGCATCCCACACATCTCCCTGGTATTGCATATATAGAGTAGTTGCATCCCACACATCTCCCTGGTATTGCATATATAGAGTACTTACATCCCACACATCTCCCTGGTATTGCATATATAGAGTAGTTGCATCCCACACATCTTCCTGGTATTGCATATATAGAGTAGTTATATCCCACACATCTCCCTGATATTGCATATTTTGAGTAGTTGCATCCCACACATCTCCCTGGTATTGCATATATAGAGTAGTTGCATCCCACAAATCTTCCTGGTATTGCATATATAGAGTAGTTATATCCCACACATCTCCCTGATATTGCATATTTTGAGTAGTTGCATCCCACACATCTTCCTGGTATTGCATATATAGAGAAGTTGCATCCCACACATCTCCCTGGTATTGCATATATAGAGTAGTTGCTTCCCACAAATCTTCCTGGTATTGCATATATAGAGTAGTTGCATCCCACACATCTCCCTGTTATTGCATATATAGAGTAGTTGCATCCCACACATCTCCCTGGTATTGCATATATAGAGTAGTTGCATCCCACACATCTCCCTGGTATTGCATGATTAAAAACCACATGTTCTGGTCACACTGATTTTTAGGACAAAGTTCGGTTAAATACCACATGTTCTTCACATCCAGCTGACGCCTAGGACAAAGAATGGTTAAATACACATGTTGATGTTTAGGACAAAGAATAGTTAATAAATATCACATACTCTTCTGATCCAGCTAATGTTTACGACAAAGAACAGTTAAATACCACATGTTCTTCACATCCCACTGACTCTTAGGCCAACGAACAGTGAAATACCATATGTTCTTCACATGCCGCTGATTTTAAGGACAAAGAATAGTAAGATACCACATGATCTTCCCATCAAGCTGACTTTTAAGACAGGGAATTGTTAAACACCACATGTCCTTTACATCCCGCTGATTTTTAGGACCAACAACAGTAAAATACCACATGTTCTTCACATCCCGCTGATTTGTAGGACAAAGAATTGTAAAATACCACATGATCTTCACATCCCACTGAGTTTTAGTACACAGATTGGTTAAATGCCATATATCCTTCCCATCCAGCTATTTTTTAGGACCAAGATTGGTTAAATACCACATGTTCTTGACAGATCTCAATGTCATGCTGATTTTACTACACAAATTGGTTTAATTACAATATGATCTTCGCATCCCGCGGACTCTTAGGACAAAGATTGGTTAAATACCACATGTTCTTCTCATCCCGCGGACTCTTAGGACAAAGATTGGTTAAATACCACATGTTCATCTCACCCTGCTTATTTTTATTACACAGATTGGTTAAATACCATATAATCTTCACGTCCAGCTGAGTTTTACGACAAAGATTGGTTAAATACCACATGTTCTTTACATCCCGCTGACTCTTAGACCAGCGAATTGTTAAATACAATATGTTCTTCACATCCAGCTGATTTTAGGACAAAGATTGATTAAACACGACGTGTTCTTCTCATCCCGCTGATTTTAAGGCCAGAGAATAGTTAAATACCACATGTTCTTCACATTAAACCGGTTCTTATGCTTTTTCGGGTACCATAATGAAATAAGAGATTTATCACAAAGTTTGACACTGTATAGCTTGTTAAGTATGTTACATAGATATAACCCGCATATCTACTTATTCATCCAAGCTTTCTTATGTACTATTCCAAATATTAGCAAAAAATATGGATACCAAATTTCTTCCACAGAAGCTTAAAGATGATGTACATTTACAGAGATTGCTCTATGTTCCAGCTTAGATAAATAGGGTCAAATATATATATATATATATTCTTTTCAAAAATTAAATTGGGGATTTTTTAATAGAATCGCTTCAGAGAGTACACTCGCTGTACGAAGTACCTAAGGACATACATATATTCATGCCCACAGTGGTATATTATATTACGAATTGTGAGATTATACATGTAGACATGTCAATAGTTTATAACATTGTGTTATATGACGCAAATTCTTTGTTCAACTGTTGTTGTTTTTGTTTGTCTAGAGACGGATTTCAATCAAATGATAATATCACAGTATGGGGGATAAATACAAAATAATATTTAGGAAAAGGTGGCTTATTAAATTAAGAGCATCCCGAAAACAAAATAATGATAGAGATGATTATTATGGTTATAAAATTGTTAATTGTGGGAATAAATGTAAATTTGGAATAAATATTTAATAAAGAAAAACAACGCTTAGGCATCATCACATCCCGGGGATATACAGTAGTTAACTTCTACATTCGGAACATTCTGCAAATGTTGGTTATAATAAAAAGTAGGTAAATCCCACATATTCTTTACATTCCGCTGATGTTGGGAATGTAGTGTGTTTAAATCCCGCACGTTCTTTATATCCCACTGATGTTGGGATGCAGTGTGTTTAAATCCCACATGTTCTTTATATCCCACTGGTGTTGGGAATGTAGTGTATTTAAATCCCACATGTACTTTACATACCACTGGTGTTGGTAATGTAGTGAGTTTAAATTCCACATGTTCTTTATATCCCACTGATGGGGATGTAGTGTAGTTAAATCCCACATGTACTTTACATCCCACTGATGTAGGGAATGTAGTGTATTTAAATCCCTCATGTACTTTACATCCAACTGATGTTGGGAATGTAGTGTAGTTAATTCCCACATGTTCTTAACACCCCTCTGATGTTGGGAT